AGCAATAGAGAACTTTGACTTGGTTGCTAGCCACGGTCCTACAGAGTTTCTCTCATTTGCTATGCTCTTTAAATACCCCAATGAGGCCACTGGCTGTGGTCAGCAGGAGGACTGGGGTGAGAGGGGTCTCCAATGTGCAAATGACCCTCAGCTCTGTTTCGGCCATAATACACCACTTGGTAGTACTTCCAGTCCGGATCTGGATGGGATCTTGGAGAACGAAATTAGCCCTGTTGCTAGGCTGTCCTATGGACTTCAACTGCGCTGTCCATGGTCCTGAATCCCAACTGCAGGCTAATGTCAGTACCTTAGGCAGCTCCTTTTAAACTCAGGCTAAACCCAGGCATTGACTCACCACCGCAGAGACATGGAAGCCCCTGGAGATGTGGAAAGACACACTTGGCTTCCCAAGCAAAATTTCCCTGGGTCTCCTTCCACATGTTAAGTATGTAGTAAATGCCACTGACACGCACCGGCCACCTTCTCCTAATAAACTAATGACTTGTCTCAGATTAAAATGTTTGGGGGAGGAGGAGGGTTGACAGTCCCTTTGGAGCATCCTGCCATCGCTTGGGGTGCAAATGGGGGTCTTCAACCCTGCCTCAACTTATCCATGAGACGTTTGTGAGGAACAAGCATCCCTTATTCTCCCCCCCCTCCATGTAATAACCTTCAACTAACCTTTAAGCAGGAGTGAATAATTTAAATCTTATTTTCATATCAATGGCAAAGTCAAGCCAAGCAATTATCTTTTATCCGTACATTCTGTAATAAGAGCAAAGGCATAATAAAGTTTTCCCAAGTGAGCAGAATTGGGGGGGGGGGGGAAGGGGTGGTAGACAGAAAGCGAAGAAAAGGGAAGGGGGGGAGATGGTATCTGAAGGCATTAGGGCAGCCATGAATTATTCAGTAAAGAGTAGGAGAGCTGTCATTTTCTGGGGGGAAATGAAAAGAAAGAAACCAGCAGGGGCCCCAACACCACAACCACTTCCAATGTTGTAGAGCAGGGAGGTGCACAGGGACTCTGTTGGCTTGCATGCTTCCCCTGGAAAGGGCTAAAGATATTGGGCTGGATCCCCTACACCTGAGTAAGCTCCATCCTCTCTACAGAAACAGTTGGACATTTCGATCCAACAAGAAACAGCTGTATTCACTCCATGATTGTGGAAACGGAGTTGCAGACGTGGTGCCACTGTGTGTGGTTGCATGTTGCACATTGCACAGTTGTGCATGGGTTCCCAAGTGCATTGCTGCATGTGGCGATCAATGTGCATGCACATGTTTTTGCACATTCAGCTGAGCATTGGAGCAAATCACCGCTATGGCAACATAGTGCAATGAAGTGGGAGCACAAAAAATTATACCCTCTGTCTCCTCGAAGTGGGATTTTGGCCAAACATGACAAATTGGCAAGCCATGGGTTGAATGAGGGCAGAGGAGCATGTGCCCTTTGTTGCAGCCGTGGTGCATGACGGACGGCTCTGTTAGGCCAAATAAAGTGCTTCGTTTGCACAGCCAGGAGCAGTAAGTTGCCAGGAAAAAGGCAGGATGAAGACCTAAAGAGGAGGGAGATGAGAACAAGGGAGGCAGGGAATGGGAAAGGCTATTCAGAGCCTTTCTATCCCCCCCTCCCCGTGTTCCCCTTAAATTCTTCCAAACACCATCTTTCCCAGAATCCCACTGGATTTCCCATGCTGATCATTTTTATTAATTCATAAAACGAAACATCCATGATTGAGGCGGTGATTAGAGGAGCAGACAAACACCCCAGGCTGGTGAGAAATTGCATATCTTGTAGCAAGAGTCAAAACACAGAGACAAAGCATGAAATATTCATGCTTCCCTCTTGCCTTGAATATGGGGAAGGGGGAGAGAGAGGAGGAAAAGGAGGAGGAAAAGGAAAAGGAGGAGGACGGGGAGATCAAAGAAGAACATTCCCGCAAGCCCTAGGAGGAGGGAGGCCTGCCAAAGGAAGGGATGTCAGCAAAGGAGCCGGGCAACAGCCATCCAAGCCCACCTGGGGTCAAGTATGGGGCTATTGGGGCCACATCCACAGCCAGAGGTGGCTTTGCATCCTCTGGGTACACAGACTGGCACTTTTTTCAGGGTCGCGGGACTCAGTGGCAATGAGGGAAGCCAGACAAAATCTACTGGCTCCAAATGACAGCCTCTTTCTGCAAGGTTTTTACTTCCTTCCTGGCTGCAGCATGCACAGCCTTTTTCTTCCTCCTTCTGGCACCATTGCACAGATGTAGCTGCACCACAGGATTCTGGCCATGGGGAGCACCAAGTGCCCCCCAAATTGGGAAGGAAGTCACTGAAAGCAGAGTTCCACAAGCATCACCCTTTCTGTTGTTCTTAACTGCCCTCGAGTCAATCTCAACCCATGGCAACCCTGTGGATGAGACATCACCAAGGCTCCTTATCCTCCACTGCTCCTGAAAATTCATATTTGTGGTCTCTTTAATAAAGTCCATCCATCTAGCATGCAGCCTTCCTCTCTTTCTGCATCCCTCCACCTTTCCTAGTGTTACTGGTTGTTTTTTCCCCAATAAGCCATGCCTGTTCATGATGTGGCCAAAGTATGACAACTGAACTTCAACTTAATCATCTTGGATTCCAGGGAGATTTCAGGTTTGATCTGTCCTAGGACCCACTTGCTTGTCTTTTGGGCTCTTCACAGGCCTTTCACCTGTCCCCAAATCCTCCAGTCCCCATTGGAGTTGAGCCATTGAATCATCTGGATTGACCATCCTGTTGACTCAGCATCCATCCCTCGATTCAGAGAGTCTGCTCTCGTTCGGACTAGCCCTTGGGATCCCTGGCCACGCAGGTGCGCACATTCCTGGATGGTACATAAGGATTCATCGGTGCCTTCAGTATCCCATCTGATTCCCTGGGATTGCAGGAACAGCCCATGCATTATTCCCCATTGCACAGAGGGACGTTAAGCAGCCACATGGGAGATACAGCAGCAGCCGCACAGTGATGGGATTCAGCAGAAAGATGGGGTAGTGCAACCACCGTATGAGAGTTTGGAGTTACACTACACAAGAATGATAGAGGATCATGGACAATGTGTTCCTTTCTTCTTCACTTTCCAAATTTTGATCCTGACTCTGCCCTTTAGTCACCTTCATGTTTTGAATTAATGTCTCCTTGGTGGGTGAGAGAGAGAGAGAGAGAGAGAGAGAGGATGGGTTGCATTTCATGGTCTGCGATTGCTGATCACGTAGAGAGGTAGCTAGAGCCACAAGACTGGACTCTTATGGACAAATAATGGGCAGAAAGAAGAGGGAGAGCAACCAAAGCTGGCCCCCTCATGTTTGGAAGTATGTGGACTCTGCACCAGCTGATCTATACAATATTGGAAACCAAAATCTTTCACGGTAAAGATGTCAGGGTCTTCACACATTAATGGCTGGCATCCTGTCTCACTCATGCTTAAGTTCCCCTAAAAAACCAGCAGGCATTTTTGTTTCATGTGCAACATCCCTATTCAATGTAAGTTTGTGGAAGCACAGCAACGCATGTTCTGCTATTGTGCAGTGAGCATGTGGACACACTTTGTACAATGTGCATTTGGCTGCACATTCATTTCTGCAACGTTGCCATTCACCAGAGTCGGAATCACAGAGTTGGAAGGGAGCCCATGGGCCATCAATCCAAGCCTCTGCTCAATGGAAGACCTCCAGCTAAAACATCCCCAGAAGCAGGGAGCTGTCCAGCATCTTTTGGAAAACCTCCAGAGAAGGAGACCCCAGCGCCTCTCCAGACAGTTGGCTCCATTAGAAGCTCTTTCTAATGATCAATTGAAATCTGCCCTCCTGTACCTTAAAACCATTAGACCTGGTCCTCCCTCCTTCCCTCTGGGGCACCAGAGAACGAACCTGCCCCCTCCTCTCTGTGACGGTCCTTCAGATTTCTAATCTGCCCCCCTCAGTCTTCTCTTCTCCAGGCTGAACATGCCCAACTCCCTCAACCTTTCTTCACATCTGTAATTCTCCATCCCTCTCATCATCTCAGTGCAACTGATGCAGAATAGGTGTCATTCAATGTCAAACTCCTCCAGGTGTTCCAGCTGTCACACTTTTACCAGCTGAAGTTTCTAGATCTTCTTTGAAGGCAGCTCCACATGCAACAAAATGCAGCAACTGAGCCTGGATGTCCTCAGAACGGTGAAGCCCCATCTAGAAGCCATTCCACACCTCAACAAGGTGCCATTGCCCAGTCCTCACAAAGTCCCATGGCCATCAAGTGACACTCCTCCATCTCCCAAAGTTGGTGCTGCCCCAGATTGGGCTCTGCCCCACTAGGATGCTCTTGGGATGTCCCCACAGAAGCCGTAAAGCTGGGCCAGACTTCCAAACCTTCGGGTAAGCTTTGTACTTGAAACTTTGCTTTGTCTCAACCTCCCAATGCACCTCTTTCAGCAGGAAATGCAAACCAGAGGAGACGCGGCCACATCCTCCCATCTCCTTCATAGCCAGCCAAGCAGTTTTCAGAAGCTAACAAGCCAACTTGAAAAAGTACACACACACACACACACACAACTAAAAGCAGTCCTTGAATCAGCTTTGGCAGAATGAGCGCCTCCCTCTAAATGCCTTCATGTTCTCTTTTCACTTGAACCAGTGATTAAAAAGATTAAGCAAATAATTAGACAAATGAAGATTAATGAAACAAGGAAAGTAATCAAACTTTTATGGCAGAAACAAACAGATGATTCTCAGCAAAATGGGAACAAATTGTGTAAGACTAATAGGGTGCCGGCTGCATTTGACTAAACAGTGGTGTCTTTGCATTTCTGTTTGGGGATAACAATAAAAGCGGGTGCTTCAACCAGGATGGAGGGGGCTGCCAAAAACACATCTCCTCCCAGGTGTTTCTTGCCTTTCCCTAAGGTGAAGCTCTCACAGGGGTTTCTTGGCAAGATTTGTTCAGAGGGAGGTTGCCTTCGCCTTCCTCTGAGGCTGAGAGAGTGTGTGACTGGCCAAAGCAGGCTGAGCTGGGATTCGAACCCTGGTCTCCCAGTGTCCAAGTCCAACATTCCAACCACAAAACCACACTGGCTTATCAAACTACAAATCCCAAGATTCCATAGGATGTAGCCTTGGCCATCCAAGTGTTGTAATTGTGCAAATGTGAAAGAGACCCAGTTTTCGGTCCCGGCTTTGAAGGAATTGTGTGGGGTGCTGAATCACTCATCCCAAAAAACAGGTTCAGCACCTTGGACAGCTCCTCTGAGTCCCCAATCCTTTTTAGCACCCCACTGCCAAACTCCAGGGGACACTGCAATATCGTGGCTATTTTGCACCTCCTCTGTGTGATAGATTTCCCTTAGGGTTGCCATAAATCAGAAACAACTTGAAAACACACAACACAAGAGAAACTGTGGCCTTGGGTTTGCAAGACCTGAGTAGGGCTGTTGAAAAGACCTGGAGGTCTCTCGAAGGCACACAACAACAAATCCAACACCTTGGATAGCTCCTTAAAGATTAGCACTGACCCCTGGGGCAGACCCCTTGCCCTATTGAGGCGGAAGCCATTAGCCACCGCAGATGGTTCACTAGCCCAGTAAGGAGCAAGGGCATCAGAGAGCTCTTTTCCTCCACGATCCTGGCCATAGCTCCTGCGTTAATGAATTAATAAAGCCCCATCAATGGCCTCAATTACCAGCAGACACTACTTGGCTAACCCACAGCAACGACACTGACGATTACTTATTAATAAAGCAGCAGCTACATCTAATTACATCCTTCTCCTCCTCCCCCCTCCCCAATAGATCCTGCCTGCTATAATAAAACTGAAAATGCCATTTTGCGCAGAGGAGGGTGAAACCTTCACTGGCTCACAGACTCCATTGCTGCTCCATCGGTTCCCCATCCATGTTCAGGCATTGGCCATTAGCAGCCCCCCTTTCTCTCCCCCCTCCCAGTCTATAACCCCCCCTCCACACACACACACACACACCCTGGCCCTCCTGACCCCAATGTTGCATGCAATAGGGGTCAGAAGTCACCCAGCAACCTCCCTTCCTCCCTCCCTTCCTTCCTCCACGGCTGGGAGCCAGCCTCATTAGCCTGTTAACCATTCATTTATCTGACAAGCGCCTGGGTGACCAATGCTATCATTAAAGATTAATAGGGAAAAGGCGAGAAAAGAAGAGAGAGAAAACCAGCCTTCCCCCCACATCTTCTTTCCCCACAACCAATGTAAATGTCCGAGCCCTGTGCTATACAGCTATATAGGGATAGAAGATCTTTGCCTGGGATTTTGCAGTGTCTCCATCTTCCTCTCCTCCTCCTCCTCCTTTATGATTTCCCTTTTTCACCGCAAGCCTTCCAGGGCCTCCATCTCCATCTCCTTCTCCATCTTCTTCTCCTTTATGATTCCCTT